TCTTTATTTTTAAAAATTTGTGGAAAATAGGGGTTTCTGAAATAATACAAATACCCTTACACATTTTAAGTATTATACTTCGTGAAAAAATCTTATCTTTATTTTAAAATACTCCAAATACTTTTTATAATTACTGACTAATTGGATAGAACATTTTGTCAATTATTTAAAGTACCAGCTGTATATACATCATTTTCAGGTTAATATATACAACAAATATCCTGCAATTAATAATTTTTCCTAAGGAAGTATGTAAAATCTTATGACTCAGCATGTGAGTCGTTAAAAATAATTTTGTAAATTAGGCATGATTGACTTTTGAATACGTTTGTTATGTCATATCGTATTATACATGGAAAAACGACACGTACGCTAGTCTATATGCAAGGCTACTGTTACCGCGTATTTTAACAGAGATTATATATCGATTGTAAACGAAAGCAAATTACTTTACAATCATTATTTCTGTGAAGCATGTTAAAGCATTCTTTTTCTTTTTCTTAATGCTGACACGTATCTCCTTGTTTTTAATATTATAAAACATATCTAAGCAGTTATTGTCGAGAACTAAATACATACATACGCCGATATCGAGCGTGAATTATAGAGAGTGATTCTGAAACAATTCACTTTTTTATCATTATTTTTTCCTTACTGTTTTAAAAATTTTTTAAATGTTTAAATTTCCAATAGAACTTTTGTCTCGTGTTTCTTTTTGTATCATGTATACTAGATTTAATAATAATATCTAATTAATGACAATTCTTAATGATATGAAGAGTTATCAATAATGATATAAATTCTGCATTTCAATTTACTTTCACTACTCAAGATTTCAATTACCAAAATGTAAGCTTCGAAGAAAAACACTTGAATTACAGATATAAAAGATAAAACTTGAAAAGATAACACTCGGCAATTTGTTTAGAGATCATTGTTTGCAAGGTAAAGTTTAAATTAATAATACTATCAAATTACTATAATAGAGAAGCATTAATCGTTGAAATCTTTAAAAACAATCAAGAAAAGAACCTAAAAACCTTTAACCTGGTTGAGAAGCACTGAGCAAGACATTGAAATGTGTCCAAGTGAGATATGATATACATATCCAGTCATCTGAAAGTAATTCTATTTCAGAATGCTTATTTTTAAAAAGTGGCTGCTTTACAGCCAAATACGCAGATTTATATACATTGTAATATTGTATAACATTAAAGTATAACATTAAAATGGTAGGAAAGTGGATAAAAAATAGGGACTTGTTTATTTTTCCGTAAGTAGGTATTTTTCAATATCACAGAAGGTAAGAAATAAAGGAAAAATTGAACAGCCTTATAATTATTTATACTGTACTATCAAGATGGTGAAAAGCACTAAAATCATAATTTGAAGAATCCGGAAAAGTAATTTTTGAAAACGAAAATCATTCGAAAGGCTTTAGGTATTTTTGTTCAATGTAAGAGCATTGTAGACGTTCTACGTTATTTCCGTCGTATTTGACCCAGTGCAACCTTGAACATGAACTCATCTTCAATATTCTCTTTCTATATTATAAGACAAAAATCGTATCTTTCTGTTTAAAATAAATTAAAGACACCTGTAGTAATAAACAATTTTCCAAGAATTTAGAGATTGGACAGTAATAAATTCAAATATCTGTATATTTATCCGTAACAATCATTTTCTTCGATGCTGTAATACCTCGTTGTACCGTAAAAAATATAAGTATTCTTAAAAAACAGCTGCATATGTGGTATAATCTTTCACTGAAATTCCATTGCGAAACTAAAATAAATTAGTCTGAAAAATATGCGTAAAGTCCTGTAATAACACCTTCAGATTCTTTATTGTTCTTTATATTTTCCATTGAGTAAAAACGTTATTCTTCCGAGTAAGTTTACATTCTATGAAATTGCTTTTTGTTTCCTAGAAAAGCTTGAATAAGGCAGCATTATTATCGTTCACATAGACGATTTCATCCGTAATTTTATCGGACGCATGGTAAACCTCTAAGTTTGATAAACTGTAGAAAACTTACAAAATCCATTAGAAATTATGTTACTCAAAATAATTACAAGATCTCGTAACATAAAAATAATTCACGTTCCAGAATAAATCATGCATAAAAATGTAAAAATGTAAAACTAATTGTTAAGAATATAAAAAATATCGTATGCTTAGTATTTACTGAATCTCTAGCTGGCGTAGTACAAATACTTCTGACGAAGCAACGATATTGATTTCTTCATTTGTACCGATACAGCTGCTTTGAACAGTATATTAAGTTCTACCAGAAGAATCTTTATAGAAATAGTTATCGAACAGTGTTTCGCAAATGTTTTCGCAAAAGTGTTTTTGCAATTCGTCACATTACGCAGCTCCTGCAAAAAAAAAACACATCGCACATAAACTTACAGATTCAAATAGTAGCTCCAAGTATATAAATGCTCGCGTGTAGGAGTCGTGTAAAAAGAAATTTCGTGTGATGCAATTACTTTGGACTAGATTTTCTCGATTACGCAAAGCATGAATTGTAGAACCGCTAACTAAATTAATGATATGAATTTGCCAGAGCACATATCAGGTGCGATTATCTTATATAACATTCGTCACATTCCTCTTCTTTAAAACCTACAAAGAATGAATAGAATATCTGCTGTTATTTAGTAGAAAATGTAAACGGTTATCATTATGCAATTGTCTTGATCTTATAACTGCACCATCAAAGACACTAAAAACAAAGCATATGCTACAAGGTCATTTCCGTTACAATGTTGACTGCATTGCAGTTCTGTACATCAATAATGAATTAAAAGTAATTCATACGATTGTTGTTGCTGTATTGATCGAAAATTCAATATTTGTAACAGGAACAAATATAACTGGAAGCAATATTTATTATTTGTTTAGTATAATGGCGATACTACGTTTAAGTGTATTATTTAACAAAGACGTTGAACTAACTACCTAAGTTGAAAAACAATGTTGCATTCTGTTAATTAAAATTTCAACACCTGTGAAAGAACCGTGATTTTCTGATATAACACATTACTTGCACCACCTACCAATTCAATCATTTACTAAAAAAGTAAACAGAATAATAAATTTCAAGGTGAAATTAATTTATGCTTTAAGTATCATTCTTTTTCTATCTGAATCATTGAAAAAGAAATATATTAAACTTGTTAGAACGTTTCTTTTCATTGTAACTGTTTCTTACAATCGTTAGCAGTACATTCTAAATTATTTAGAACCAACAAGTTGTAACTCTTAGCAACGCGATAATAGCTGACTCTGTACCTTTATACGAATCTTGTGAGAGTGTGCTTGCACACCTTTCAAGTTTCAATGAAGTCAAACCAGCTCTGATGTACGATTATTGCATATTCTAATGTGGTGCAATATTATATCTGCCCCTAGAATGTAATATAAGATGTAATTCAAGAAACCTATGATTCTGCAAAATTGCTTTACATTAACACGGTTATCAAAGCTTTCGTAAAAAAACACTAACCGCAATATGATATGTACTTTCCCACTAGGGGGTGTGATTGACGCGTTTCATTTTTACATTCGCTTTATTGCATTGGGAATTTTTTTTTTTTTATTTAGAATACTACAATATTTGAGAAATTAAAAAGTAAATTAATTTGGTATAAAAACATAAGACCAGATCAAGTGTAGTGTATTATCGAAATTATATTCCAGTTAAATGTACAGCTTGAAAATTTTTTTAAC